CTTAAGTGTGGGGCAGAGTAACTCTAATAACACTGCCACATAAGCAAGTTACTTAATAAACAAAAGAAGACTAAACTACCCCTATTCGGCACATCTTCACAAACAACAAAAAAGAGATTAATCCTTAAAATGAGAAATTCCAAATGCAACCTAAAAAACAATACCATGTCCCAAGAGTTTATTAATCTCCAGTCTTACTTGTTTCTTTCAAAACAAAAGCAGCAGATGAAGGTCACTGTAACATATGATAGAAGGGAAAAACTAGCTTTTAATTGACAAAGTAGCTAGATTATATCTTACATTTAGTTGGAGCTCGGAAAAGTATTTTAAGCCGCACCCATCTAATACGAATTAATAAATACTTACAACAAAGGAACTTAAGGCGCATGCAGCATGAAAATTAAAAGAACAATTATTTGGAGAGCAAGAACCATATAAGTTACACCAAAGTATCAATACATCCGATACACATAAACATGTGTACTGTTTTGATCATGGTTTTTTAAATGTTATTGACCTAAACGGTCGGACCATTTCGCACAGGAACCGTCTAGGCAATCAGTTCCGTTTTACCCCAAACCTCTTGGCCAAAAACTGTTAAATCAGTCAATGCTCCGTTGACCCAGGCAGTTGACCTATCAATCCGTTCAACGGTTTTTGGCTGTTTTTTTATTTTTAATTATTTTTTAGTTTTTTTGTCAGAATGGGCCATCCATTCAAATCAGATGATCAAACCATTGACCCAGAAACCGATGACCAGAATGGTTCCATTTCCGGGTCATTTTTTAAAACCATGGTTTTAATAGCTTATGACTCAGAGGGTCGGTCTTAGGCCTACCCATGAAACAGTTAAAAGTCCCAAAAAAGCTTTGCATATCAAGGCCTGCCGATACTATACAATACGCCCCATATATTTGACAGATTTGATATACTAACTAGGGTTCAACTATAATATCAGAAAAAGATATGATATTAAAAAAGTTTTTGATCAATCAACCGGTATCATAAATGTGATAGCCAATTAGGTATAATTTATCATGGGTTTTGATTGATGAAAACTCTTCCAATACCATGTCTTTCTTGTATCATAAATTTTCCTTACTAACAAATTCAATTATTTCGATAAAAACCACGGTATCTTTTAGATACATAGAGGTGTTATGGAGGTTACCAGAATAAGACCAATGATGTTTGATGGGCTTCCAGAGTAGATAGGTACACGACTGTGCCCTTTGCTCGTTATTAAACCCATTGTATGCCTAGAAAACAAAGTTATCAATCTAACAAGAAAGCCAGTACGTAATCGTAGATAGATAAATTTACCAACTAGTAACCATAAAAATTCGGCCCATACTTGTCGAGTTTAGCAGTTATATCAAGGGAAAAAGTTTCTGATATGGGAGTCATAGGGTCTTTAGCTGTCTTCTGCGTCAAATCAAGTGCTCCAGATATAATAGTAGTCTCGTCACGCGTCAGCTCCCCACCTCTCCCTTCCTAAATAAAAATGAATTATGAAAGCATTTAAGCATCAAGAGTCAAAGACTCAAGATAATGGATTCCCAGCTACAAAGGAAATGTTCATCTTCAGTGATTGATAAGCTCATATAATTTTCATCATACTGATAGTGATTGATATCAGCTTTATAATGATATCTGTGGCAAACCTCGTTTCCATGCATATGCACAAATGTCTTCAGCTCTGCTCGTCTTAGAAGTGTAGAGCTTTCCTTCCCCAAAAGAAAATCCAGTATCTGTAATTAACAAACAGGAAATCTCAATGCATTTATTGACATCTTCTCTCATATAATTTGCAAATTTTATTGTAATACTCTCACCCAGCAATCAATCTCTAGTAAAATATTACCTTACTAATTGGATAGGATATGGGAAAGAACACTAGTAGAAGTAGTCGAACAAGCATAACCATTTTTGCCCCAACTCTGAGTCCATAACGAGAACACACAGCTTGAGGGATGATCTGGACATGATTGTGAGGGAAAGAAAGGAAGAAAAAAAAAAGTATATAATTGCATCGCATTAGACAATTAACCATGAATTAAAATGAACTCCGACGGAGTTGGTTCCACTGAAAATAATATATCAAACAGTTAGAAGGATCGAACACTCAAGATGATATATACCTCTCCAAATGAGAGTACGAGTGTGACAGATACCAAAATCGCGCCCCAAGCCGGAATAAGTGCATCAAGAAACACAGGCAACGCCTTAAACAACGCAAATTAAAGACCAGATCATTCATTAGTAAACACAAAAAACACTTAGAAAAGAAAGAAACTGTATGTGCAAGCATATACCTCCATGGCCAAAGCATTGCATATAAGGAGCGTGCAAAGGAGCAAGTGTTGGTTCTTCACAACAGGCAAGATCTTACCTGTGGATAGAGAAAGCATAGACGAAGAAAAACCAACATCAATTAGTTCCGTTCTCTTTCTTTCTTTGTCAAAAAATTGAATTTGAAGTAATGGAGTAAGGACTAAAAAGAGTAACCAGCATTCTTCCGATCCTGGGGCTGACCGGCCTTAACAAGGACCTCGAGATTGAGTCGACTGAGGGACATGAGTCCCAGAGTAAGACCTGACATGAGACCAGCAAACGCTACCAGGGCCCCGCATATGATCAGATAGACCCAGAACATGGGCCTGCAACATCGTTCATCGTTCGCAGCCATGCGTTTATCTTCCGATGCTCAACTGTTCAGTTTACTAGTTGGTAATTAGGTGATGGAAAGAAGAAGAAGAAGAAGAAGACGAAAAACGATGGAAATGTTGGGGAAATCTGAACTGAAGGATTTGAGTTGCGAGCTGGTTGAGTGTCGATTTAAACCTGTAATCAAGCGCATGTAATAGTATATTGTTCGTATGAAAAACAAACCATTGCCCGACAAACAGCATAGTGTTGGAATTAGCTGGAGATAGTGACGAAGAGGAAGTAGAGAAATCAAATAATAAAAACCCAAATATATATATATATATATATATATATATCCGGGGATCCACCATCGTATTGGACCGTCCATTACCAAACCAGAGTTGTGATGCTGATTTCTGGCTAATATATGGAAAGGATGGCCAGATGGGGTAGGCATGTCAGAACTGAGAACTCAGAATGGTTCCGGTAACGATCATGCCAAAGCAATCGCTCTGAGTGAAGTTAACAGTGTGAACCCTGCCGTTATAAGTTAGGCATTTTTTGAAATTTTTTGGCCAACGAAGGGTGAAAATGGCAGACATCACACAACCATTTCCGCTCTTTTTGTTGTTGTTTTTTTTTTTTTCTTTTGGTAGAAGGTCGTCTACCCCCTCCTGAATCGTGACTATTACCACCCTTGAAGGGTTGTATTTGGTACAATTGGTAATTAGAACATGATGTACTGATGCATTTATTAATTTTAGAGACGTGTACATTTATTTTCAAATATTAGTATTTTTTATAATTTTTAATTTTTATCTATTTTTTAAGTTTTTATTATATGATCATGACCTCATGTGCTAACTTTTTTGATTTGAAAGAGAAAATAATCTCAATTATGGGAACTTTAAAATTTTCTATTCTATTTATAATTAATTGTAAAAATAATTTTTGTTTATCACACTATTTTTTTTTGTTAATTATGACAAATTTATAGTATTTGAGGATATATGCCAAAATTTTTTTATATTTTTGTTTTTGCAATTCTATCCTTTTTATTTTTTATATTTTAGTATTTCATTATGACATCATTGGCTGATCTATTTTACCCAAATGATTGGACCATTAAGGTGCAAATTGTGCAAGTTGGGCCGAATTTGTGATCAACCTAGGCCCAACACTATGCATTGGTCCTAAGGCTCAAGCCTGCATTGAAATTTTATGCACTTAAGTTGGGCTTGGGCTTGAATTGGTCAATCATCCCCATCCTAAAAATTTACATAAATGTATGTGTATATACATATATACATATATGCAAATGTGTGTCCATGTATGTATGTATTTTTTGGTGCCAAGTATGTATGTATGTATGTATGTAGTCAGGCTAGACTCGAGCTACCTAAGGCTCCTAGCCACAAGTCAAAAAAAAGAGGAGCCCAAACTTTTGTGCCTAGGCTCAAACCTAGCTTGAGGACTGAAAATCCAAGTTAGTTCATCTAAAATTGCAAACTGGGTTGGTCTAGGCTCAGATTTAGCCCACCCAATCACACGTATAGGTCTTGCACTTAAAAAATAGTTTTATTTATGACTTAGTTTAAATTTTTATTTTATTTCTATCATTGATAAAAATAATGTAGTTATCACACTTATATATTTTAATTAATATGATGAGTTACATAATATTAGAGATTTTTTTGTTATTTATTTATGACAATGTTGGTTGACCCATTTGACTTAGATTGCAAAACTATGTATCTACCAAAAAATAAAAGGAAAACTTAGTTTTCATGTTGGGTTTGAACACGTAGGTTTTGTATTGTTAAAATTAATAAGTAAAGATTTAATCGATATAATTTATTGGCAAGAAACAAAAATACTTCAAATAAAAGATCTATCAGACGGAGAATGGAAATTAACACCTTAGGCTTCATTTGGAAGGAGAACAAATACAAATATGTAGAGCGCAAAACCTTATATTTTGTTTTATTTTCTATAGACTTATACTGTACATATTTGTATTTGTACTCCTTCCAAACTAAGCCTTAACGAGAGGGAATTGAGTGAAGTGAAAAGTAATAGTTTAAATTACATTTTTTGCACTAAGAATTAAAGAATGAACAAATTCAAAAATAGAGGTATTTTAGTCAAGAAACACCCACAAAGCTCATATATTTAATATACGATTTAATGAGAAGAGGATGAATGATATACCTTAAATATAGGATTTTAATACAAGGGAATGGAATGAATTTAATATAAGTAGTATTTCAAATTGTATTTTTTTTAACCAAATCCAATAATAGGGGTATTTTAATCAAGAAAAAATTTAGAATCTTGACCTCATTCCCACTTTTAATATAGTAGTATGGATATCAAACTTGTTTAGTTGGTGCTTATGCTGATTAGGCATTGAAAAGGTGCTTTACTATTCTGAACAGTATTATGTTGGGTATTGCCATTATTTTTTGAAGTGCAACTGCACAAATCATTCAATCGTCTCAATTCAAACACATCAGACTCCACAATAGTAGAAAAAAATATCAGGCCAGGCACACCGACCATGTGTAAGTTCTAATACAAGTAGTTGCAACTTGTGATACCCAATGTGTTGCCATGTTGGCTTTCCATGGTACTAGATACAATGGTTCTGAAGAAGCCACCAACAAAAGCCTGACAATGGTATTTGCATCACCTTCGAGTATCACTAGCTGCAAAGATAAATCTAATGCAAACTTAACACCATGAAGCAAAGGTTCGACTTCCAAGTGTGAGCAAGATGGCAATGGAACATTTGAGTGAAATGTTTATATTTAATGTGACACCATCCTACCATACCAATCTCTCATCCAATGTTCAAATTTAAAACTAAATGTGTTTTTAATGAAATGATTGGCTCATTAGTACATATAGATTAATATCTAGATGCAGATTTAATGGTTTTAGATGCATAACCACCCCCCCAAAAAAAAAAAAAAAGAACTTTTGTTTTGGAGGTAGGATTAGAATATATCTCTACTCTGGTGCATTGGATCCCAATTAAAACCAATTAGGTGCTGTTTGGAACCTTGATAGTTTGCAGTTGTAGCGTTTTGAGAAGTATGAACAATTCAACTTAAAATGGACACAATGGTTTTAGTAGAAACCTGCTTGGTTGGAGGTATGCTGATTAAGTGACTCTTAGTCTAGGCGCTTTAACTTTGTTTTTAGTAAAATCTTATTTGGTACCTCCTCTTTCAAGTTGAAGTGTTAAAAGTAATAAATAGAGTTGGAGCAAAAACAAGAAAAAAGTGAAGAGATAAAAACTAATAAATAGAATTGTAAATCGGGTCGTGTCGCTGGCAGGCCAGCATGGCCCGACATGCTTTTGGTCCAGCAAGGCACAATGGGATGGGTCATTGGTCTTGGGTTTCCAAGCCCATAGGCCAGCATTACACGACATGCTTGGGTTTTCCTGTCTTAGTAGTGCCTCTTACAATCTACGGAACAATATCTCATCCATCATGAAACTAGGATGTAGGTGCACCGCTCACACCTCACCAAAATGAGCAGCGACTCATGTCTACAAGGAAGCATGACACTCCCCCACTTAAACCACCATAATATGCCTTCCAGAAATGGCTCATGCATTTTCCCCCGCTTGATAAATGCTTTAGGCTATGTTTGGTTTGAAGGAAAAGGTAGGGAAAGGAAAGGAAAGGTAGGGGAACCTCTACAAACTTTGTATAGATTTTCCTACTTTTCCTTTCCTTTTCCTATCTTTTCCTTCAAACCAAACATGGCCTTAGGGTCATTGAAATGGGGACACGATGTGTAGCCTCTTGCCAAGCTTAATGCATGTTGCTTGCTTGAACCCCAAGTGGAAGTGCCGAGCGACCGCATCCCACGATGTGTGGCTGCATGAAATGTGACAACTTCAACTGGCTCGCTTGTTTGCTCTAATACCAACTACAGCAATAATTGGCTAATGGCTCTGACACCAACTAGCTTTTCAAGGTATTTTGGGTAATTAATTAAAATATTTCCAATTCCTATAAATACCCTTATCTTCCACCATTCCCATCACACCAATTCCCATAGTCTCATACTCTCTTATACACACTCTCATACACTCTCATACTCTCTCTACTCTCCAATTCTCAACTTTATTAAAGTTTCAACAAGAAGAAGGCTTGCTCAAGTATCTCATGTTAGCAATTTGTGAGGTTTGAAGGCTTCAACCGTTGAAATCAAGTTAAGATTTTGAACAAGCAACCCAGGTCAGTTGCAATTAAATTAATCTTTATTTTTTAGAATTTAAAAAAAAATAGCTAGCTCCTCCTGAAACCAATTTCCCAATGTGTTCAATGTCAATGATGTTCAGTTACAATATGATAGTGTCAGCACCAATGTGGATGCTACTGATATTGCCAGAGTTCTCACCCCTAATACTACTAGGGGAAAGAAAAAGAAGGACACTAAGTTGACTAGCCCAGTCTGGGAAGTATTTACTGATGCCGCTCGATCCTATGTGATGCAAGAACCGAGGTCACAGTCAGATAATCCTCACCTACAGGGTAGAGCCAAGGTGGAAGGTGGAAGTCACGCAATGAGATCTGCGAACAAGAAGAAGTCAGAGGCCCGAGGAGTTATCCTCGGGTAGGTACTCCGACGCTCAAGTCAGTAGGAGGTAGTGGGCGGCCAGGCCGAGCAGTTAGAGAGCAGCACTAGTCCGACCAAAGTAGGAGTATGGGTGCTAGAGGTTGGAATCCCTTACCTCGAGCGGGATATACCATTTTATAGTCGAAGGTCCGTGTCCTGATCGGATTAGGCTTCCGGGGCGGAGTTGTCCCCATCCTCTCTTGTTCTTGGTCATGCTTATCCGCATGACGTAAAGTTGACATGGCCAATAGGATAAGGTGGGGGCTCCGAAGGTAGCGTAATGTAGTCATGGTCGCAGAGTCGGTGTATGCCACGGAGCTGGCAGGGCAATGCCGACGTGGCCGAGGTGACTATGCAGTGACTGGGGACCACGTGGCATTTAAGACCAATTCAACCATGACCCGAACACCACTCCCCCAGTTCCGAAGTAGAAGAATGAAGTGCTCAGCCGAAGTGTAGCTCGGGAGAGTGCTTTAGTCCTCGCTGAGGAACTTGAAGTTGAAGTC